GAAGGGGAGGCCAGGCAGGGCCACCTCTGGGCTTCTGGGCCCTGAAGGGCTGGGGGAGGGGATGGGGGGGTAGAATCAAAGCCGGTAGCCAAAGCTGTCCGGGGCTCCCTGGCCCAGCGGTGACCTCTCCCCTCCCCCAGCCCAACCAACAAAAGTCCAGTGTGCAGCCGATCACCACGGAGATGCCTCCCCTCCTCCCTGCACGGCGCCAGGCCCAGCTCTTTGCTCTCCTAGATCTTGGAGCCTGACCCTGCAGGGGACAGGGCTCTCACTGTCCTGCCCCTGGGAGCCCCTCCCCGTCCTCCTGCCACCCTACCTGTGCTGTGTTTTCAGGCCGGGGAGACAGCTCGGGGAGGCCAACAGGGGTTCCAGAGGTGGGTTTTGTATGTCAGATGGGTGTTCGACAGTGCGCGGGGACACGATTGCTGGGCACAGCCCCAGGCCCGAGCCTGCACACTCACAGCGCGTGGGCAGGCGCACTCCCTGCACACAGGTGTCCCGGAGTGATGCACACGTGCTGTGTACTTCTGTCGCTCCCTGGGACCCCCAGGTACCACCAGGCCCTGGAAGAGGGTCTGCTTGTTGGTCTCCCTTCTGCCTCCTCTGCTCTGGGGGGCTTTGCGTGGTGCCGGAGGGTGCAGGGCCTGTGCTCACAACCTCCCTGCATGCCAGGTGCCTGCAGGCCCTGCAGCGACACTGAGCTCCTCCTGGCCGCATGCACCAGCGACTTTGGTGAGTGTCCCCACCGTGGGGGGAGCCTGGAGCCTGCACTCCCCTGCATGCCCACCCTGGCCAATGTCTCCCTACAGTAATTCACGGGACCATCCATGGGGTCACCCATGACACGGAGCTGCAGGAGTCTGTCATCACCGTGCTGGCTGCCCGTGTCCTCCGCCAGACACTGCCCCTGTTCCAGCCAGGGGGCTCCACGGGCCGGGGGCAGGCTTCCATCCGCACCCCCCTGCACTGTGGCGTCCGCCCCGGCCCAGGCACCTTCCTGTTCATGGGCTGGAGCCGCTTCGGCGAGGCCTGGCTGGGCTGTGCCCCCCGATTCCAGGAGTTCAGCCGTGCCTACGCAGCTGCCCACGCGGCCCACCTCCACCCCTGTGAGGTGGCACTGCACTGAGGGGCCTGGGGGTAGCCACCAGCTGGACCTCCTCTGGGGTGGGGTGCTGGGGAGGGGCTGGTAGGGTGGGTGGGGAGGGGGGCCCCCAGGTGGTATCACGGTGCCCACTGCAGAGGTGTTGGGGATAAGCAATAAGAACTTGATTATGTCAGCGGCTGCGGACCTGCCTCACTGCACTGCTCCACAGGGGGAGACTGAGGCCGGGGGGCAGAATGGCAATTTGTCTAAAGCCATCCAGCTAGTGGGCCGGAGAGCGGGTTTGAGGAGGAGCTACACCCACATCTGGGGTAGGGGCTGAGCTAGGTTGGGAGGCATGCAGGGTCCCCCCCCACTCGCTCTGCTCTGCTGCCCTTGGCCCACCCCATCCCGCCTGGATCTCGCCCGCTGCCCCCGGCTTACTCACTGGCTCCCATATGCCCCCAGTGCCAGCAGGAGTGGAAAAGGGGCATAATCCCCAAGGCCCCAGCTGGGCGGGGTGCGGGCCGGCAGGCGGACGCCTCTCCCAGCTCTGAGCCTGGCCTGTGCGCGAAGGGGTTGCGATCTGGCAGGGCGCCGGCTTCCCTCGCCATCCCTGTGAGTAGAGTCATCCCGGCCTGGCCCGCCCTGGGGAAAGAATGGGCCCCTCTGTCCGCAGGCCCCTGCGACGTGCTGAGCATCCAGACTTGGCGAGGAGCCAGCAGGGTGTGGGGTCGCCTCCGCGGGGTCCTGCTTGTTGCCTGTTTCCAGTGGGCGGGTGCACAATGGGGTCTCTAAGGACCGTTTCCCGCCACTGGCCCCATTGTTGATATCTCCGCCTTCCTCCACGGCCTTTCTGCCACATAAAGGGCCAGCGAGGTTTGAGGCAGACAAAGCCAGAGGCCTTCGGGCTGAAAGCCCTGGGCGAGGGTGTGTGCGCAAGGTCTCCCATCCCTGATGAGCAGATTCCTCTCACCCCAACCCCTCCGCTCCTGGGAGAGAGAGCACCGCGACTCCAATGCCAGGGACCCCTGGGCTGAGCGCCAAGGATGGCTCTCCATCCTTGCTTGTCTGCCCTGGCTGGGGAAGGGGACAGGGTGGGGTAGAGGCCCTGCCCAGGCCCAGACAAAATGAAGCCCTCATCTTCAGGCAAGAACCGAGGCTGGAAGAGGGACCGGCTGTGCAGGGCCCACGAACAAGATCCTTCCCCCAGATTCGGCCAACACAGGCACCTAGTGAGTGCCGTGCCCTGGGAGGGCACCTGGTGGGTCCCATCCTGCACAGCCCTGGCACCCTCATGGGGCGGTTGTCTTGAGGGTGCACACGCGTGGGGGCGTGCTCCTTTTACTCAGGCCGCTCGCCTGTGGTGGAGGCTGGCAGAAGGAAGGGTGGGGGGCACAGCCACTCTGGAGGGCAGGCACCGCTGGGTTTCCTCCACCTGCCCCTCGGCAGGCTCCTTGCTGCTGCCTCTAATTTCCCCAAACTCCCAACCACGGAGGGCTCAGAGCTCAGACAGTTGCTTTTTCCTCCTCTTCATCGACACTCAATGAAGAGCTGGACCAGCCTCCAGTAACAATTGGGCCACTCCCTGGACTGTCCCCCCCACCTGCCCCCAGTCTCCACAGACCAGAGGAGGAGGACGCCAGTGTGTCTCCCGCTCCTCGTCCTCTCCTGTCTTGGGGAGGCTTTCCCACCAGGGCTGAGAGCACCGTCCCCTTGGCACAGCCAGTGGTGGCAGTGGACCACTTCCCAGCCCATCTGTTCAGAAACACGCTGGGCAGCTGCCCTGGGATGGGCCCTGGGTGCATCCTGGCCTCCACTCACCTGCCCCAGGAAGCTGGTCCTCCCACACACAGACCCTCGCAGAGGAAGTGCTGCTTTTTTTTTTTTTTTTTTTGAGACAGAGTCTGTTGCCTGGGCTAGAGTGCAGTGGCATCAGCCTAGCTCACAGCAATCTCTAACTCCCGGGCTCAGGCAATCCTCCTGCCTCAGCCTCCCGAGTAGCTGGGACTACAGGTGCGCCACCACACCTGGCTCATTTTTTCTATTTTTAGTAGAGACAAGGACTCACTCTTGCTCAGGCTGGTCTCAATCTCCTGACCTCAAGCGACCCTCCCGCCTCAGCCTCCCAGAGTGCTAGGATTACAGGCGTGAGCCACAGCACCTGGGCAGAAGTGCTGGCTTTGCAACCAGCATCCTTCTCAGAGGACTCAGGCGGAAGTGGTTGTGGCGAGCAGGGCCACAGGTGACCCACAGTGCTCCAGGATGAGTCTCAGAGTTCGGGTCAGGGGCTTCATGCCTGCCCTGAGGACTGGTAGCCAGGCCAAAGAAGTGGGAGGGCAGACAGGGAACAGGTGTGGGTGAGCAGGTGGACTGGAGCTATAGGAGCTGGCTGGGGGGCCCTTGTCAATCAGACACAGCTCCAGGTGTGTGCCATCTCACACAGGTACGCACCTGGCTGCCGAGTGCCCGCAGGCTGAGGAGCAGAGTGCTTGGTGTGAAGGTGAGAAGAGCGGGGTTTGCACACTGACAGGTCTGGTCAGGTTCATTCATTCATTAGACGAGCTTTTATTGAGCGCTTTTTGGGTGCCAGGTGCTGCTGCAGGCACTGGGACTGAGGCATGGAGCCGCAGGCAAGAACGGGTGCTGGGTGGCACCCCTGCCTAGCGCTCAGTGCACATTCTCCTTTCCTGGGAGGGCCCAGTCACAGACCCCAGAAGACAGGACCCTGAGCTGAGTGAGGCTGGCTGCCTCCTCCCCAGAGCATGGGAAGGAGCCACCCAGGGACACCTGTCTTCCAGGGCTGGTTAGGCAGGAGCCGATGTGCAGCACTCGGCACTTAGGGGACGGGGCAGTGGTCCTGGGCGTACCCACTCTGTCTGGAAGCAGCCTCCATCCCTGACCCGGGCCATGGGTGGCTGCCAAGGAGCCAGACCAGGCCATGTGCACGGGCAAGCCCCTGCCATTCAAGAGGCGGCGGCCATAGCTCAGCCGCTAACCCAAGGCTCTGTCTCTGCACTTGCCTCCCTCACTCCCGGCTTCACTTGGTAGCCTCCAGGAGCTCCTCAATATTTTTTTTGTTTTCTGGAGAAGAAAGGTGATCTCCCGGCTCCTGGGGCTCTGTCTTCCGCCCCCGCGGCTGGGCTAGCGGCCAGTGCCCCCGCCTGCCACATCCGGCTCCCCTCCCACCACGCTCACCGGAGCCAGCGTCTGTCTCGCGGCCTGTTAGTTTCTGCTTGTCAACCCCTCCTCCCTGCCCTTCTCCTCGGGACCCCAGAGCTTCATCCATCTCCCGCCCACTGGCCTAATCCTCATCAGCTGTGGGAGGGAACCGGAAGGGCGTCCCCCCGGGTCTGGCTGGCTTTGGAGGCGTCCTGGTCCGTGGAGTCCCCGCGGGTCTCCCCAGGCAGAGTCGTGGGGTTGGCCGGGACCAGGCTCGGGCGCCTCCCGCCCCTGGTGAGCGCCTTTGTTACCGCGCTGGACCCGGCTCCCCGGGCTCCAGCCGCACCTAACAAGGCCCGGCTGGTTCTGGGACCAGGACTCTCCGGCCGGGACCCCACCCCCGGGCCAGGCCGTGGACTCGCAGCCCCGTTCCCTCGGGTTGCACCCCTGAGGCCGTCGCGGGTGTCGCGTGTCCCCGCGCCAGGACGCGCGCTCCACGAGGGCAGGGGTCGCTGTCCCCTCCCAGGGGTCCCTGGCGCCCAGGACAGGCCCAAAGTAACGGTCCGTCCGCACAGGGGGCCGACGGAGCCGACCGACGCAGGCTCGGGGCATAAGGTGGGGCAGAGCCGGCCGGGGCCGCGGCTCACTCGGAACCTGCGGGAGGGGCCCGGGCCCGGGGCCGGGGCGGAACGGAATGCGCGACGGACCAGCCACTTCCGGCGTCTCGCCGCGGCCCCCGGAAGGCGCGGGGCAGGAGAGGGCACCGGGCAGGCGGGGACAGCGGGTCCTCGCTCCGGGGCCAGGGCGTGAGGGTCTCGGACCCGAGCGGGCGAGGGGCCCTGGGGCGGACGACCCTGAGCCGCGTGCCCCGCAGCCATGGAACCGGACGACCCGGCCGAGGCACTGACGGAGCTGCGCGAGCAGCGGCCGGGCGCGCTGGGGCTGCTGCAGCTGGCGGCGGGCTCGGGCCTGGCGGCCTACATGGTGTGGGCGCTGGTCCTGCAGCCCGGCTTCCGCCGCGTGCCGCTGCGGCTGCAGGTGCGGGGCGGGGAGGGGCGGGAGGGAGGCCGCCGCTCCACCTGGGGCAGGAAAGTCGGCTAAGAAAGGAGGCCCCCTCCCAGGAGATTCGGGACGACTCTAGGAGGGGCAGGCGTGGCCAGTGGACACCCCCAAGAGGAGACAGCCTTCCCTGCCCGCCCACCTCCTTGCCCAGGTGCCCTACATTGGCGCAAGCGCGCGGCAGGTGGAGCATGTGTTGTCGCTGCTGCGAGGCCGTCCTGGAAAAATGGTGGATCTGGGCTCCGGCGACGGCAGGATCGTAAGGCGCGCGTGTGCGTGTGTGTCTGTCTCTGTCTTCGCTGCCCCCTCCCACGGGGCCCGCCCCCACGCTCTTGGTGTCCACAGGTGCTGGCAGCCCACAAGTGTGGTCTCCGCCCGGCTGTGGGTTACGAGCTAAACCCGTGGCTGGTGGCGCTGGCGCGGCTGCACGCCTGGAAGGCCGGTTGTGCTGGCAGCGTCTGCTACCGCCGTGAGGACCTCTGGAAGGTAACCTGCGGAGTCCGGACCCCTGCAGACTCCACACCTGATTTCCATGCCGGGGTTTCCATGCTAGGGGTCTGGTTTGGCCATCCTGCTGGCACCCCAAGGGCCCCTGGACACTTGGGTGGGCTGGGACTCAGAAGCTGCAGTGAACCCAAGCCCACCAGACCTTTCCCCTGCTGGGGCCCCATTTCCTGCTGAGCTGACCCCTTCTCCCTGCAGGTGAGCCTGAGCGACTGCCACAACGTGTCTGTGTTCCTGGCCCCCAGCGTGGTAGGTCTGGGGTTTGCTGGCCCCACTGGGAAGTGCAGGCCACACCTCAGTGTGTTTGCTGCTGAGGCCTGGGGACCAGCCCAGGGTGGGTGCTAGGCCTGGACTGGCTGGGTACGGGCAGCTGTTTTCTGTCTGTCCCTGGTCCCCTCTACCCTGCTGCTCTCTCCCACAGCTCCCACAGCTGGAGGACAAGCTGCAGGCAGAATTGCCCCCAGGCGCCCGGGTGGTATCTGGACGTTTCCCCCTCCCCACCTGGCAGCCTGTGGCTGTGGTGGGTGAGGGCCTGGACCGAGTGTGGGCCTATGATGTCCGTGGTGGTGGGCTGGCTGGGAAGGCTGTCTCCTCTTAGGGGGTGCCCATCAAGGCTGCCCCAGGACCCAGTTCCACCTCGGTCCCCGGGGCCCCCGTTTCTCAGACTGGCTAACTCTTTAGATGCAATAAAAACTCCGTGGATTCCACCGTGACTTGTTTAGCAGAGGGCTGGGGGGAGGGCTCCACGCTGGCTGCACGGGAGGGTGCTCTGTGCTCCTGGGAAGACTGGCTAGTGGCTGCACGTCCGTGGATGTTGAGGCTTGGCTGGGGGTGTGGCCCCCACTTTCCAGGGGTCCCTTGTACCCACCAGCTTTCTCAGCCTCAGGATTTCCTGCTTGTACCTGCTCGGGGGGATCAGGCTTAAGTCACTTTCCTGGCCGTGGTTGGGTCTGCCTCTAGTGCCTGGGACAGCCGTCTTCCCACCCAGACCAGGACCCCCAGGTCACACCCAGCTCACCTTCCCAAGAGCCTACCTGCCCAGGTGCTGGTCTACGTACTCTTGTAGCTCAGAAAGTTGCTCTTCAGCAGCTGTGGCCCGGACCAGCAGCTGTGCCCGCTCCTGTTCCAGCTCTGCCTGGCAGGGGGCAGGGGGCAAGGGGTGTGTAAGTCACGAGCGAGGGCATAGTGTGAGGAGGGGCCCTGACCAGGCCCTGCCCACTCACTACCTGGGTGCCGTGGCAGAAGTTTTGGAGCTTCTCGTGGATCCGGGCCCAGGATGTAGTGTCCAGGCCCCTGTGAAGGGAGCAGGAGAAGGAGGGATGGCTTCGAGCACTGGCATGTCAGTGTGGGAGCTGACCAGTGAGCCTGCTTGAGTCAGGGTTCCCAGAGCTTCCAGGTGGTACCTGCTCGGAGTGAGTTGGGACACTGTGGGCCCACCCTGCCACTATGACCCATGCCCAGGTCTCGAAGCCATTGGTGCATGGGGGGTGGGGCAGCCCAGGCCCAGAGGGCCCATGGACTGCTTGGAGGGCTAAGCCACAGGCCAGCTCAGATAGGGATCCCAGTGCCAGTAGGGGTGATAACCCCTCAGGGTGTTTGTCTTGCCAAATGCTGGGAGCTACTCCTCTGGGAGCTGGGCCTATGGTACACTTGGGAAGATGGAGGCCCAGAGGCCAGGGCCAGCCAGGTTGCCAGGCAACTGCTCCTACCCAGTCTTCATCCCTGGGTGTTCAGGTCTGAGCAGAAGCGTTCCTCCCATTCGAGGGCAGCCCCACTCCCGGCAGACCCCCTCCACCCACCAGGCACTGGCATGGCAGCCATTTCACTTTTCTGCAATTATTGGTGTCCCCCAAGCCAAATGAGAGACCTGAGGCCAGGCCAGGCCATTGTGTTCACTGCTGTGACCAGAGCCCCGCCCCGCAGCCACAGTTGGTGGAAGAAATGAAATGCATGGAGCCGCAGTGTTCTGCTCTCTGCCTGCCCCCTCAGGCACTCACTGGTGCCGACGGCCCCCCTAGGAGGTCTCACCAGGTCCCTTTTGTGGGGGCAAAAGTGGCATCCCACGCCTGCTGTGCTGTACAGTTTGTGGTAGGGATTCCTCGGTTGGCTGAACAGGGCAGGTCAATTAGAGGCCCTGGGCTGGGGCTTTGCCAACCCTGGGACAGGCCTGGGGTGAGTTCTGGGGCTCTGTGCACACCCCAGGCCAGTGTGGGGCAGCAGGGAGGGGGCACCTGGGCCTGGAGCTTCTAGAGGTTCATATCCGGCCTCACCTGACCCTCCCACATGTGGCTGAGCTTGCTGACTAGGAGCAGTGGCTCCAGACCCGAGGTGGTTGCATCAAAGGTAGCCTTGGGTGTCCTGGGTGGCCCGTTAGGGTTCACCTGTGTGGGCCTGCTCCTGTTGCCCACTAAGCCACACTCCGGGTCACGTAGGGCCACTCCCCCCCAGGTGTCCATTTCAAGGCAGGGCCCACCTGTGGGTGGCCAGCACTTCCTCATGCCTGTGGCTCAGATCTGCCAGGCGCTTGCGGTAGGCGCGAGCAGCCCGGGCCAGCTGTTGCTCACGGCAGCGGTGCGCTGCCCGAATGTTCTCCAGGGTGGCCTCCAGGAATGTCCGAAGGGCTGCAGCTGCAGGTGCCTGGCCCGCACCGTTGGCGTACTCCTGGAGGAGAGGCGGGGCGGGGGCAGTGCTGGGGCGGGGCTAGGGTTGGGGGCCGGGTCTGGGCAGGGCGGGGCCGTGGCGGGGGCGGGGCTGGGATGGGATTTTGGGCAGGGCGGGGCTTGGTTGGCCCCACCTCCATCCCTTCCAAACCCGTGCCCTCGCCCCCTCCGCAGGCCCACAGGGTCTCCTCAAAGTTGTCCAGCACACCCAGGCCAGGCTTGGGCTCCTGAGGACTCAGCGGCCTCCACCCAGCGCTCACCACCACCTCCCGGGCACAGCACTGCAGCCGGAAGGCGTACTCCTCGATCAGCTTTCTGAGCTGCAGCTGCAGCTGGGAATTCTCTGCCTCGGCCTGGCGGAGCTGGCCCTGGCAGGTGGACAGCACCTGGGGCAGAGACCGCCCTCAACCTGTGTTCTGAGGAGTGGACCTTACTGAGCTTGTAGGGCCCCTGTGTGCCACGTGCCAGATTGGGAAGCAGGTAGGGTAGGGCCTCACCACTGCTTGTGCGGCCAGTCGCTGCCCAGCTGCCCTGGCCGCCTCTTGGGCTCCCTGCAGCTGCCGGCTCAGGGCTGCCCTGCGGACACGGTGTGCGGCTCAGTCGGGCCCACAGGGAAGGATTCCCTCCGCCCCTTGGCAACAGCTGCTCCAAGCACTGTACCCGGCTGGGCCCTCCCTGTCACAGGTGAGGTGGCCACTCACACTCGTGTCTCCAGCGCCTGCTGTTGGGCCTTGTGACGCTCCAGCGCCCATTCCACTGCTCCCTGTAGCCGCTCCTGGCCCCCTGGCAGCTGTGGACACACGAGGGCTGGCTGGATGAGACCCCAAGCTCCAGGTCCCCCACCCTGGGCTAGGGGCTACATGCTCACACTCTTCCCCAGCTTCTGCTACTCATCCTCTGGGGTCAGAAGAGAGGGAAGGGAGGGCTGAGGGTGGAGGAGCTAGTCCCAGCCTCACAGTGCCTTCTGCTGAAGTTGTCACCTGGCTCCACCCAGCCCACCCAGCCCCGCCCTCCATGTGCTCATGGTGACCTGGAGCCTGCGGTGGCCGGGGCGTCCGGGGCCCTGGGGTTTGCACCTGGGCTCCTGGGCTGGTGCTTGGCGGTGTTCTAGGTCAGCCTCTGCTGGGGCTGCACGTGCCTGGCTGGCGCCATCTCTGTGCAGCTCCAGCTCTAGCACCCGGCCCTCCAGCCGAAGGACCTGCGGGACAACCAGCTCGAGCAGGTGCACCTGTGGGCCAGCCCACGTGGGACAGGCTGAAGCCCACTCTCATGCAAAGCACCTGTCCTGGCCACGCACCTCCGCCCCTCATGCACTGAGGTGGCCACGTGACTGCTCACCTCACTCTTTAGCTGGAAGAGTTCAGCCTCGTGCTGCTCTCGCAGGCGATGGGTCGTGATCTGAACGTCAACCAGCTCCTTCGAGATCTGTGGGTGGCCACGGCAAGAGGTGACGTCTGTGGGCGCCTCCCGCCCACCAGCACACTGGGACCCCACACCCACCTGCAGCCGCTGCTCCTCACTCAGCTCTAGGTCTGACAGAAGCTCCCTCTCAAGACTGGTGGCCCATGCCGGGGGACCCCTAGGAACTCCTCGCAGCCAGTCCTCGGCTCGCGGCACAACCTGGGGACGCCCCAGGTGGGTCCCAGGCCTGGGCTGTGACCCCACTGCCATGGAGTCACCAGCCCTCCCCCAGCCTGGCCGACCTGGGCAGCCCCTCCCCTGGCCAGGATCAGACCCCAGATGCAGGGGCCTGCACCCCTCCTGGCCCCTGACTCCATGGCAGGAGCAGCAGCAGCCTGGAGGACTCACGTTCTCAGCGGGCCACCGTGGAGGCCCTGGCCTGGGGCCTGTGGCTGCCGCATGCTCCATAGGCAAAAGGAATTCTGGCCAGCTCCAAGCGCAGTGCTGCCCGAATCCCAACCTGGGCTGGTGGCTGTTGCCGCGACAAGCCTGGGTGGCTTGCGTTGCCAAGGCCTCTGTGGGTCCCAGGAGACTCCCAGGGCCCCGCCCACATGGGCAGGTCAGTGGAGGTGGGGGGAGCTCTCAGCTCCTTCCCTCTATGGCGACCTATCCTTTCTGTGTCCCCGTCTCCTCATCTGGGAAACGCAGCGAGCACCCCCTGCGCTTATCCCGGCGCAGATGGAACCAAGGGTGCGTGACAGCGCCCAGCGCCCCACCTGGTGGGGTGGGACGGCACGAGCGGAATGGAGCTGCCGCTGCGGTGACTGTTGTCCTTACGCACGGAGCCCTGCCCTACCATGGGGATTCGCACACTTATTAGACACCTTCTATGTACTTCCTGGCGCTGGCTGAGCCCCGGGACCGGCAGGTGAACAAATTGGACAGATCTCCCCACCCCCAGCCTGAGAAAGGCGGGTGCAGCGTCCCCACGAAGGGACGGGGGACGCAGGGGACGACTCGGTCAGCCCGGGCGCCAGGAGGGCTTCCCGGAGGAGGTGCCCCAGCGCCGGGCGCGGCGGCGTCGGACGTGCGCGCGGCGCCCCACCGGGCACGCGCACTCCCTCGGCGCACGCGCGCTCCCTCGGCCGCGCGTCGGGTCCAGCTGCGCACAGGTTCCGGTCGGGCGGGGCGGGGCGCGTCCGCGGGCGGGGGCCGTTGGCGGCGGCCGGGCAGACGCCGCGCTCCGAGCAGGCCCGTGAGCGGCGGCGCGAGGCCCGCCTCCGCCTGTCCGTCCTCCAGGCCTTGGGCGCAGCCGTGCGGGTGAGGGGGCGGCGGGGCACCCGGGCGGTCCGGGTCGGGCCGGGCTGCGGCGGGGCAGGTCCCGGGGAAGGCGTGGCCCGCGGGGCTGGGGGCGGGGCCGGACGGCGGGCGGGGCCGTAACCGGGGCCTGGAGCGTGGGTTCCACGCGAGCGCTCCGGGAAGCTCCTGGGGCGGGCAGCAGGGCTCCTTCTTTGGCCCCCAGTGTCAGTGGGGCCTGATCCCGCCTCGCGCAGCCCTTCTTGGGGTGTGGCGAGCGGAGCCCGCGCCCTGCAGAAGGGGTTCAGTAGGCTGGGGGGCCTCTTTTGGAGGAGGCGCGGGGTGGCTGAGTTCCGCGACCATGAAGGTCAAGGTCATCCCCGTGCTTGAGGACAACTACATGTACCTGGTCATCGAGGAGCGCACGCGGGAGGCAGTGGCCGTGGACGTGGCCGTGCCCAAGAGGGTGAGGGCACACCGTGGGCGGCAGGGAGACCACTGCAGGCCCAGGCAGCCTGTCCCCCTCCTAGAGGCTTCCCCGACCACCCGGCGGGTATTCCCTGATCTCTGGTCGGCAGTGGCGTTAGCGTTTCTTGGTTGTTGTGGGACTCCCCTGAGTTAGGGCCGCCTCTGCCCCGCTCTGGCGCCTAACTGCTCGGCACACGCTGGGCCATCGGTAACTGGATCTCTGCGCCCCGCACCGGCGCTGCCCTGGGTCCGGCCCGCCTGGGGAGCTGTGCACACCGGACCCAGCGCCCCAGTGGGGAGGGCCTGGCCCACCCAGATCGTCGGTGTCGTCGTAACTCCCGTCTCTTTCAGCTGCTGGAGGTCGTGGGCCGGGAGGGGGTGTCTCTGACCACCGTGCTGACCACCCACCACCACTGGTGAGCGCAGGCGGGGCGGGCCGAGGCGCGAGGACGGCGCTCCCGCCGACCCAGACGCGACTCCGCTTCCGCCCCGCAGGGACCACGCGCGGGGAAACGCGGAGCTGGCGCGGCTGCAGCCCGGGCTGGCGGTGATGGGCGCCGACGAGCGCATCTGCGCGCTGACGCGCAGGCTGGCGCACGGCGAGGAGCTGCGGGTGAGTGCGCGCCCCGGACGGGGCGGGGCGGGCGCCCGGGGCCCTCCCAGTCTCACAGGTCCGCCTGCCCCTCCGCCGCAGTTCGGGGCCATCCACGTGCGCTGCCTCCAGACGCCCGGCCACACCTCCGGCCACATGAGCTACTTCCTGTGGGAGGACGAATGCCCGGACCCACCGGCCCTGTTCTCGGGTACCTTCAGCCCAGAGCTCGCCCGCCCCACCTGCCTCCGCTCCGCCCCATTTTCTCTGACCCGCCCTCCTCCCCCAGGGGACGCGCTGTCGGTGGCCGGCTGCGGCTGGTGCCTGGAGGGCACCGCACTGCAGATGTACGCGAGTCTGGCTGAGACCCTGGGCACCCTGCCCCCGGAGACGGTGAGGGCCCCCCTGCTTGGCGTGCTGTGCGCTCTGCACCTGTCCTGCGCCAGGGGTGCAGAACCCGCTCGAGAGAGAACCATGTCCCCCACCTCTGCGCTCTGCACCCAGCGAATACCTTCTTCCTTCAGAAGGTGTTCTGCGGCCATGAGCACACGCTGAGCAACCTTGAGTTCGCACAGAAAGTGGAGCCCTGCAATGACCACGTGAGAGCCAAGCTGCGCTGGGCCAAGGTACGGCCACTCCTCTTCTTAGTGGGAGGGTGGAGGGTGGAGGGAACAGGTGTATTCTTCCTGGGGTTTGGATATCAGGACCCAGGAGGGGCACCACAGGGGAGTCAGCCATGCCTGGCTGCGAGTGACCAGATCTGGATCAGGCCTGGGGGGCACTGCCCTGCTGCAGCTACCTGGGTGACGAGAGCCAAGCTGCCTGGAGCTGTTAGACAGGGCTGGGTTGTGACAAGGGCCTGTGGTCATTCCAGAAGAGGGATGAGGACGACATGCCCACGGTACCATCCACTCTGGGCGAGGAGCTGCTCTACAACCCCTTCCTGAGGGTGGCGTGAGTGTGGCTGTTGTCCCGGGGGCCGTCCTGGGGTGGGGCCTGAGCTGCGCCTGCAGCCTGGGAGGCCCAGTACCCTGCCCTGCTCAGGGCCTCCTTGGCAGTCACTGAGATACTCAGAAGGTGTCTGAGGACGATTTATCGGGCCCAGTGTCCTGGGCCCTGAGAAAGCATGCATTAAGCGCCCTCCCCTCACCCCATCTTCCCTGGCACGGGCAGGCGAGCCCTGCAGCGATTCCCCACTGCACCCATCCCCCGCAGAGAGGAGCCGGTGCGCGAGTTCACGGGCAGGGCCGTCCCGGCCGAGGCCCTGGAGGTGCTGTGCAGGGAGCGGGCGCGCTTTGAGCGGGCAGCTGAGCCGCTGCAGCCACAGGCACGGGCTCTCCTCGCGCTGCAGTGGGGGCTCCTGGGTGCAGCCCCGCAGAAGTGAGCCGCGCATGGAGCCTCGTGGGGCCAGTGTCTGTGGCTACGTCCCTCCCGCGGCCTCCGGCTGACTGGACCCCTGAGAGGGCCACCTCAGACCTTCCTCCAAGGCCGTGCCCCAGCATGCAGGCGCTCCGACTCTGGCGCTTCCGGGGGTGGCCACGTGGGCCCCCCGTGGCCCGGGCGTCCAGGACGCAGCCTCATGGGTGCACCAGGCTTCTGAACTGTGAATAAAGCTTTGAGAGCCTTCCCGATGCGCGGCACCACGAAAGAGCTGCGTTCAGAGATGCGCGGTGTGTTTCAGGCGGGGCGCCTTTATTGGCGGTGGAGCTCCGTGGGAGACGGGCCTGGCGGGAACTAGCCAGGGGAAGAAGACTCAGCTGGGGAAGCCCGGCGCCAACTGACGCCTGCTGCTTGGAGAGCAGACCGGGCCCAGGAAACAGAAGCGCTTTCGCCCCAGGGGCTGCTGCTTCCTAACAGTGGACACCTGGTTTCGGGGGGACCGAGCACCCCTTCCTGCCAGGCAGGTCTGCCCTGTTTCCCGCCCTCTGCACTATAACTTTGGGGGTGACTCCAGCAGTCAGCTCTGCTCCCAGACAGACACTTTGGTCGCCACGAGCCGGAGGCGCAGGGGCCGTGTCGTGGGCCTTGGCCCTGGGCTGCTGCAAGAGGCTCCGTAACCTCACAGAACCTTTTGCCTCCTTGGTCTCCCTGCCACACTCGGGCAGAGCCAGCGGGGAGCCCCAGAGGAGCTGGGCCGGTGGTGGCAGTGACACTGTGGGCTCTGACTGCCATCCTGGGTGCAGCCAGCTTCCCCCTCCCAAGGGGTTCCAGCACATTCTGCAGCTCACTCCAAATGTGGCGGGAGGGCGCTGGGGCCTTGGAGCATGTGACCTTGCTGCCGGGCACCCGTGAGCCTTCCTGGGAGTCCCGGCTGGCTGCAGGTGGGCTCCGGCAGACCCCCACGGCCTCCTACCACCGGATGCTGAGGCCAGAGCTGGCCTTCTCCACGGCATGGTACTGCGTGTGCAGCAGGCGGCCGGCGCGCTCCGAGGCCTCGCCCTGCAGCCAGCGCCCGTACAGCTCCCGGACCCCAGGCGCGTCCTCAGGCGCCTCTATCCTGACCGCGCCGTACAGTCTCTCCACCTGCTGCAGAAGATCCCTGCCCAGCGTGTCCGGGGCCTTGAGCTGGCCTCCGCCATTCAGGCAGCCTGTGGCAGGGCGGGTAGGGGACGCCTGGCATCAGCACACACCCTCCCAGGCTTCCCGATCGCCCCGGTGCCCCGCTTCTGCCACCTCCCGCCTGGCGGACGCAGCCTGTAGCTCTGGTCCCGGCAGGGCCCCCGTGGTCCGTGCCCTGGGGACTACCTGCAGGGCAGGCCATGACCTCCACGTAGTGGTACGGGCAGCGCCCCCGCTTGAGTTTCTGCACCAGGCTCTGGATGTTGCGGAGGCCGTACGCGGCAGCGAAGCGCAGCAGCACCTGGCCCCCCTGCTCCAGGGTCACCTCCTGGAAGTCCTTGTTCCTGGGGGCACGGACCGGGCTTGTCACCCAGCACCTCGAGGAGAGGCCCAGACATCTGGTCCCCTCCCATCTTCACTCTCTCACCTCCAGTCCAGCAGGTGCTCTCGCCTGCCTCAGTCTCCCTGTCTGTAAGATGGGAATCCCTCCTTCCCAAGGGTGGCTATGAGCCCCAGCCCCCATCTAGGGACGTGGCGTCACACACAAACCCTGTGCCAGGCGCCCTGCCCGCCCTCGCCCGCGGTGCCCCCCACGACGGGCAGATCCGGACCCAGGGTGCGCAACCACAGCCCGACGCCACCCCCTACTCAGCCCACCCCAGCCAGAGGACCCAGGGCCGAAGCGGAGCCTAAGGAAACACTGGGGCCTGGTGGCCCCCTGCCCGGCACTCTGGCCCATCCACTGACCTCAGGGGCCTGTAGGTGACCTCAGCCACGTGGATCCCAAAGAGCTCTTGAGCCGCGTGCCGGAACACGTGCTCGAGGTAGCCACCCGAGCCTCCACCCCGGTGGCTGGTGGGCTCCTCCACAAACATGCCGCTGGGCCTGGGCAAGGAGGGCAGGGCCTCAGCACAGCGCAGGGCACGAAAGCATGGCTCGTCATGCCCCGGGATCTGCGGTGTGTCTGACACCGACGTCCTGCCACCACGTCCTGGTGAGCTCAGGCTTGCGCAGAGCTCTGATGACCGTCAGCAACTGCCCACTGGCCACCACGAATCCAGCCACTTCTGGGGACACCGGGATGGGCCATGGGGGGCAAGAGAGGAGAGGGAGGGCGGGGGAAGCCGCCCCTCCCCCACAGACAGCATTTGCAGCCACAACCAAGGTTCTCGGTGCCCGACGTACCGCCCTCCATGGCGCCAGGCGGCGACTTACAGGCTGTCCAGGGGCGCTGGCTCCAGTTCTGACAGCGAGATGCCTTCTTCTTCCAGCAACTTGAACACTTCCCCTGCGATGAGACGGAAGCCACAGCGCACTCTTTAGCTGGGACCTGGGTGCAAACACCACTGAGGAACATCCGAGTCCTCTGCTTCCCTGGCCGTCTGCAACCTGGCCCCAGGGCCCCCATGCCCACCCCTGGCATGTGATAGGAGGACGGACCAGCCACGGGGTGAGAAAGAGCCACTGCACTACAGAGGACCCTCGGGGGGCCGCCTCCTGCCCACCCAGGGGCAGCGCGACAGCGGGCCGGGGTCGCGTGTTCCTCCAGTGCCCGTCTGTCTAGCCTCCTGGGTGGCTTATTCTGTCTTTTTTTTTTTTTTTAAACACAGGGTCTCGCTCTACCCCCGAGGCTGGAGTGCAGTGGTGCGACCTTAGCTCACTGCCGCCGCCAACTCCCGGGCTCAAGCGATCCTCCCGCCTTGTCCTCCCCCGTAGCTGGACTGCAGATGCCACCACACCAGGTAATTTCCTGTCTTGTTAAGTATCTGGGAGGCTGTGAAGCTCCTCGCCTCGGGATTGGGGAGGCCAGCGTTAGCCAAGGGACCGGAGGGAGAATCTTCGCCCATCTCCCCTCAGACTCCTCTCAGGGCAAACGAGGAGGGACCAGGAGCCCCTCCAGCCGCAGGGCCCCGAGATGGGTCGGCTGCCGGTGGAGAGACCAGGAGGTGCACACGGGGAGCCCCGGGCCCCGGCCAGAGCCCACGTGGGCAGGACCCCGGCAGGCGCCATCTGTGCAGACCGGGGGCGGAGCGGGCTCAGGGCAGCGTGGTGTGCCCGCACCTGTCGTGAGGACGCAGTCCACGTCTCGCGTCTGGTACTCCTGGTTGAAAAAGTCGGGTCTGGATGCTTCCAGCTTCTTGTCATAGCAGGGCATCACCGTCACATGGTAGATCTGGTCGGGGGTCAGGTGCTATGTGGAGAAGCACAGAAACGGCTGTCACTCTCGAGCCCAGAACCAAAGTGGTTGGCAGCCAGCAAGGGAGGCGGGAGGTCACGGCACACGACGGCCGTGGATGCCACCGCCCAGCGGCCAGTACGTGACCGCGAGCCTCGCAGCGGGTGGCCTGCACGTGCACCTGTGGCCACTGCCCGACGGGTGCCCGGGGCGGCCCGACGCCATTACCTGCTGCTGGGCGAGGAAGTCCTTGACCAGGGCGCCCATGACCTGCTGCGGGGACCGGGCCGTGCTGATGTGGGGGATGATGAAGCTGCCGTGGGTCTTCTCAGCGTAGCAGATCCAGCCTGAGGTGACAAGGCCACGCGGGACTTGGCTCGGGGCAGGGCGGTCCGGGGTGGACCCACGTGCACAGGACAGCAGGATGGCGGTTGAGAACACTCCAGTTCTAGCCTGCCCGCCACAGGAGATCAGCCTGCCGGTCACCACCCTCTGGAGGACTGGAGCGACTGGAGGTGACTCCCGAGACCCCAGGGCAGCTCGTCCTCCAGAAGAGGCCACCTGTGCGGACGTTCCTCGCCCACGCTTCCCCCACCTGTCATTCCCGGAACCCGCCCTGAGCTGTCTGAGTCTTCAGTTCACTTGAACTGGAATCTCACACCGTCCGCAGGACCCTGAGCACACCTGGGCAGGCGGAGGCCAGCACGGGCAGGGCCTGCGTGGAGTCGGCCTGTCCTCGGAATCGCCGCACGAACTCTCGCTGGCTCTCGAGGAGGCTGAAGTTCCTGGAGAAGGCGGTGTCGAAGACGAAGTGCGCCCCTGGAAGGCAGGAGCCCACTTAACCCAGCCAGGACGCCCACACATGCGCCGTGGCCGGGACCAGCATCACGGCCTGGGGCCTGGGCTGGCCACGGCGGGGGCAGCACTGCTGCCCAGCCCCAAGAGCAGGGCTCGGCCTCCCAGTGGCAGCTCAGAGCCCCTGCTGCGTGTGGCACCTGCATCCTGCCCCCGAGCGTCAGCCCCAGTGGCGTGAGTCCTTGTGCTGTCCCGTAGCCTGGGCGTCCACCGTGAATACAAGTTCAGCTCCCACACCAGAGCAGGGCCCAGTCACGCTCCCTGTCTCCTCCCAGTTCCTCAGACACCTGCCCTGCACACTGTTCCCCGGTGACCCCCTAAGGGATGGTTGGATGCGGCCCACTGGGCTGGCTCGACGACACCCACAGCCCACACCCCACACGGACCGTGCGGCTACCCCGCAGGGCCCCCGGAACTCATGCCTGCTCGCTCCAAACCCACCAACCACAACTCCCCGTGGGAAACCTGCTTGGATAATGCCCTGAGCCCCAGCAGAGGTGCTGGCCCATGGTCCCCCTCTCTCTCCCGACTCCCCCCGGCCTCGCGTGATCCGTGGACGGGGGATGGTGCTCCCTGCCCGGGATCTGTAAGTTAACGTCTTCGAGCGCGTTGTCTGCTGTGGCGGTGCCAGGTTTCCGCCTCCCATCTGAGGAACCAGGGGCTGCCCCAGGCTGGGTTTTCCCCGGGATGCCGGGTCGGGCTCCCAGCACCGGATGGCGGTCAGGCAGGCACGCACCGCACCGGGCCAGGCAGAGCCACAGGACGTCTGCGTGAGGGACCTGGTCGCGGGTGGACACCGAGGCATGAGGCCGCCTGCAGGTGAGAGCCGTACCCTGCGGAAGGCGCACGGAGAACACCTGCGTGCAGCTCCCCTGCGTTTCCCGTCGGGGCGGGGCTGCCAGCCGCTCCGGCACTGGAACCCCAGTCTAGCTGGGGGCTCTCCAGACACCCACATCCCTCCCCAGTGCAGCTCCCAGCCAACCAAAACCGACCTGACCCAGAACCCAACAAGGACCTGGAAAATGTGCTTTAACGACACTGGCTCAAAAACGGTGTGAGCCGGGGGTGAATCCTGGACTCGGAGAAAGTGCAAGGTCGGACTTTGGATGGGTTTTTTCTCGAGAGGCACAAACGCCAAACCGAAACTTCGGCTGCGTCAGGTGCAGAGTCAAGACTTTCTATGGCGTTTAGACTCAGGGCCGAGCGATGAGCCGCAGCCTCGGAGGCTGGAAGTGTCCCCACACGCTCAGACGTCCCCTTGTTTTGAGCTACAGCCTTCACCCCTGGGGCCTGGCCTACCTATTTTTTTAAAGAAGGAGGTTAATTTCCTGGCGGTGTCAGTAGGATTCAGCTGGAGCCGCGCAGCCAGGGACGCTCTGGACTGTGGCGAGACGGATACGACAATCAGCTTCTGCTGACCGGGGGCCGCCATCTGCAAGGCAATGCGGACACTGCTTACTCCGCAGGCTCCATGCAGTCCCCAGGGGCCAAGGCGGCCAGATGCCGTCGGTTCTGCAGTGCGCTAGCTCCGTCAAGGCGTGTCATTGTGACCTACGCTTAGGACCCAGAGTTTAGGGCCTGACACTTTCAATGTTGGATACTACTGGCAAATAATTCACCAACAGCCCATCAGCAAGATCTGAAACACAGAAGTCACTTGAAGACAGGATTAGCAGCTTCAGGACATGAGCTGCCCGGGACGAATAAGCTGTAGACTGCTGGGCTTGATCTCAGGTTAAAGCGGAGTCTCGGAGGCCACCCACCCCTCACCTTGTTAGCGTCCAGTGCCTTTCGAAGCTCCTCGTGGCTCTGCTGAGTGATAAGCACGGTCTCTGCCGAGGTGACGCAGCCGCTGCACGCCAGGCAGTCATTCAGCGAGACCTTGGCCTTCTCCAGCCTCCGGGTCCCACCATCCTGGAAATACAAGAACCCGGTGCACAGAGGGCCCCACTGCGCGAGGACAGGGCGCCTTCAGGATGGAGGGGTCCACGGGAAGCTCTTGTTCTCTTGCTCATAACAGCACTGACAGCTGACAGGGCAGCAGGCTGGGTTTATGTGCCACTCAGTGTTTTAAAAATTAAACATTTATTACAAAAATGCTTATATACATTCTAGATTTCCACATTGCCATCGAATTCTACTTTTGGGCACAAAAACCACATGAACGAGGCTCGAGGCTGTCAATCAGCACGGGTCCTGGGGGCTGCTGGTCCCAGGCTGCACTTACAGGGCTGTGGACGGGACGGGGCCAAAGGCAAGGCTCTGGATGGCAGAGGAGGGGGGAAGCCAATGGTGGATGAAGGAAGAAAGGACAGAGGGACACAGGAGACGAGAGGCAAGAAGAGGGCAGAAATGTGGAGCCTGGCCCAGGGTGTAGAGGCCAAAACGGGCAGCAACGGTCCTCGGACTCGGCCAAACAGATGCAGGACCACGGTGCTGGAGGTGGGGCCAGCATGGCCCTCAGTGGTTTTTCTTAGATGCAAAACAATCCCAGCGTGAGCCCCTGGCAAACACAGGGATGGTTTGGAGCGGGGCCGGGAGAGCTGCGGGGCCTAGAATGTGATCAGGGAGCAAGACACCCCCCCCCAGCCTAGCTCCCAGCTGGGCCTGTGCATTGCACCAAAGCCTCACTTTGAGCTCAGCCCATGTTTTTACACTTGGAGCTGCCTGAAAGCCCAGAGGCACCGGCTGCAGTTCTGTGCCAAGCCCGAGGCTGACGAGCTCCTCGAAGCAACTGCTGCTGCTCTGGATGGCTGGATAGCGGGACCCACCAGCTTCCCCGGGTCCCTTCATTCATGGGACCCCTCACGAGAGCCAGGTGCTCCCAACTGCACCAGGCTCCAAAGCGTGCTGTCGGGTCACACTCCTGGACAGAGCCAACAGCCAGCTCTGTTCTGCAACCATTCGATCCTGCTGTTTGTCCTTCACAGAGACCTGCATGACCCCCGCACCAGGAGCCACCTGCAGTTCCTCCCTCCTCAGGAAAGGTCCCCAGCCCAGCCTCCTGGTGTGAGCCGGGCATCGGGACTGGGATGATGTTCTTTAGAGTCCAAATGGCAGACTGTTGGTGGTGAATTTTAACCCTGTTTCATCGGGATCTCTTTTTAAAATTTTTATTTATTTTTGGAGTCTCGCTCTGTCACCCCGCTGGAGTGCCGTGGCGTCATCATAGCTCACTGCAGCCTCCAACTCCTAGACTCAAGCGATCCTCCCGCCTCAGCCTCCCAGAGTGCTAGGATTACAGCTGTGCGCCACGGCGCCCGGCCTCATCGGGATCTCATCATCACTTAGAGGAAATAGATGTTATCTAAGGTGAAGTCTGAACTGGAAAACCTTACACAAATAGAAGCAGACAGGATCCACAATCCTGCAGAAGAGCCCCCTTCGCAGAACACATCAAGCCTGCTGTTCAGCCTGGCTGCCTCCCATTCCCGCTCCCCAGGCACCCTGAGCCCCGGCCCCCCTGGTGGTAGGTGAATCGGACCACCGAGAAAGGACTGGTGAGATGTGGAAAGCCTCAGGGTCACTGCCTTCATGAGTGGACGAAGTAGAGAAAGCGTGTTTCCGACCAGCCGAGGCAGGGGCTGTGGCGGAGCCCATGGGCCTTACTTGGGTAACCTGGAAGTAACTCCCGTCATCTTCGATGTGGATCTTGGCTACGCCACTTCCTGGCCTCTTATCCACCTTCACGGGCTTGATGCAGTCCTACACCAGGAAGAAACCCAAACCAGAGCCTGTCAGTGGGCAGAGGTTCCCATGGAAGCGGGCCTTCAAGGAAGGCAGTCTGGCTGCGCAACGGCCAGCCGCGTGGCACAGAGGTACTGCCACGAGCGACGCACTCGGAGACGGAGGCTGGTCCCACTGTCTCCTGCCACAGAAGCAGTGACACCAGCTCCGGCTGCTTAGCCCGCTCTCGAACTGGGCACAGGTTTCTAACATTCTGCTGCCACTGAAGGCCACTTACTGTACAGGTCTCAGTTAGCATGAAGGCCAGTGCTAACAGTGCCTGCAAACCACACATCTGCAGAGACACCGCCAACCCTGACCTTCATCCTAAGCATAAACAGGAGGAGTGACCAGAGTGTTACACTGGCTACTAAGAGGAACCCAAGGGCCTGGCAGGAATGCTTTGCTTGGAAAAGACTGGATGGAGGTCACCTCCCTGCGAAGTGCCCGGAAAAACGTTCATTTCTCTCCCAGTCTCCTTAAGTTCTCTCTCTAGACCACTGCCTTCCCTAAACGACCAGCTCCAGAAAGCCCTGGCAGGAGGCCTGCCCCAGCTTATCCCTGCAGAGCAGCCCCACTCTCCTCTCCTTAACTCTGGGCCTTCCAGCTCCGGCGTGCAGGGCTGTTGCCCTTGATAGGCGCACCCAGGCGACACCAGCCTGCTTTGCAATGCAGTGGGGCTGTCTGGTCCCGGGGCGGCGCCAAGCACTGTGTTTACTGAGCAGTTACTGCCCTGCTTCCTTCCAGCCACCATCCCACCTGCTCTCAAGGCCGAGCTGGGGTCACCGCGTCCCTGTTTATGCAGACGAAGAAACCGTAGCTCAGAGAGGGGCCTGAGGCCTGGCAGAGGCGGAGAGGCCAGCGCCAGTCCTGTCCCCGGGTTCTGCTCGCCCCCGCTAGGTGGGCGGCGCGAGCCTGCGACCCCGGAATCCTCCCAGGCGGCCGCCTGAACACCCCGGGGCACGGTGAGCGGGTCGGCGGCACAGCCCTCCCTGGCCTCAGTTTCCCTGTTGGTAAGAAACGGGCCAGAGCGCCTCAGGCCCCGGGCGGGGGTCGCTGGTGGCCTCGAGGGCATCGGCCGGAGACCGGGATTGGCATTTCATTTCTCAGGGAAACAAACAGAGGCGGGGAGGGGTTTCCCAGCACGCGAGGGGCGGACCAAGCGCAGCCTCGCTCGGCCCACTCCGGGCCGCTCCCCGCGCACGGCCTCCCGCCCACCCGGGCGGCCCACCTGAGACGGCCCGATGAAATCATCCAGGTCCGTCAGCTGCAGCGCCCCGCTGAAGGGCGACGCCATGACTGCCACGCTGCCGGCGGGCGCCGCGCGCAGGTGTCGCCAAACGGCGCGAAACGGACAACTAGTTCCGCCACGCTGCCGGAAAGCGTCCCACGGGGGCGCATGCGCACCTCACCTCCAGCCAGGCGCCCGCGGAGTGGGCGCCCTCTGCCGGCGGGCTCGGTGCAGCGGCTCTCGGGCCGGTCTCGCGCACACACGGGCCAAGCCGCGCGCTGCACCTGCCGCCCGCACCTGCCGCGGGCCCCCGCGCCGGGGTGGAGCGCGGCGCCGGGACAACGAGTGGCGCAGCTCTGGCGCCAGTCTCTGCGCCTTCACAGAGAAGCGGAGGGTCCTCGCTCGTTCTTTTAGCCGCCCAGACTTTACCTGACGACAGGTGCGGGCCTGGGGCCGCGCTTTGCTTTACTTTGCTCGTCCAAGAACGGCGCCTGACGCACAGTAGGCGCTCAGTTCTCTCGAAGCAGTTCAGGCAGCGGAGAAAGTGAAAAGGTTAGGGCCAGGGAGTGGGGCCTGGGGGTTCGGGGCAACCCGGGGAAGCCCTGCCCAGGGCATGCCAGACCCCTTCTCTGCTATTTTGGAGACGAGCCTGAAAAAACTCCATTTCCCTGGGAGATTTTATAACCTGGAACAGGTCCGCTGCGAGTCTGACTCAGTTTCTAAACCCTTGTAAATTCTATGTCTAGTGACACACTGAATGACCAGGTTTTTTTGGGGACTTTCCAGAAAACTCCAGGCATCAAGCCTGATGTATTTCCAGCTGCCACAGACTCAGCCCCGGACTATTGGTGGTGAGCTCACGTTTCTGAGTCCCCGGCCTGCACTCCTGCTCTCCGGAAGGTTCTGGTAGAACCCCCTTTCTGGGCCCTGATTCCGCCAGCTTGCTCCCACCTGACTCTGCCTGGTGACTCCCGCACCTACCTGCAGGGTTTGCCGCCAGGCCCAGGAACCCAAGGCCCACTGGCTGGCGCACACTCCCTGCGCACCTGCAGCCGCCCCTCTCGTCCCACAGGGCTTTCTTCCTCAGCGCTGGGAGCTTCCCCAGCACCTGGGCCAGGTGGGCTTCCAGGTCCCACCCGTCCCTCCCGCCTAGCAATACCTGACCAAGCTCCAAGGTGAGATGCCTGAAATCTGAGGAATCCCACTAATCATTAGGGATAGGTGAAACACGAAGTGGACTTAGTTTCACGGAAATGCCGTGGAGTAGGTTTACAAACGTGAGAGTGAAGAGCGCTGTTGTGGTTGGGGGCAGGGGCGGGAGAGCGTTTATTGAGGGGGCTCTGGCTGGGCCTGGAGGCAGAGGATGGTCTCCGTTGGGGGTGGGGCGGGGAGGGTTCTCCCAGTGCTGTGGGGTTTACCGTGTGGATACTGGGGCAGGTTTCAGTCTTTCTTCCCTCCAAACCCAAGTTTACGAGAGCAAACACAGGTGGAGCCAGGTGGGGGCTCGTCAGAAGCTGGGGACAGTCCGTGTCCATCAGCAGACGGCGGATAAACTGACGGGGTCTGTCCACGCAGCGGAGCAGCACTCAGCCAGGAAATGGAACGGCGTGCAGACCGCGCTAGGACGGAGACGGGCCTGGAAGACATGCTGCTCGGTTACAAACCGTGTGATTCCACCTGCGGGAAATGTCTGGAGGAGGCAAGTCCGTACAGACGAGAGTATTACAGAGGTTACCAGGGGCTGGGGGGAGGGCACTTCTGACGGGGCTGATGAAAACCTTTTGGAAATAGATGTTGCACAGCATTGTGAGTGTAATTAACTCTCTGAATTGGATACTTAAAAATGGTTACAATGGGCCGGGCGCGGTGGCTCACGCCTGTAATCCTAGCACTGTGGGAGGCCGAGGCGGGCGGATTGTTTGAGCTCAGGAGTTCGAAACCAGCCTGAGCAAGAGCAAGACCCCGTCTCTACTAAAATTAGAAAGAAATTAATTGGACAACTAAAAATATATACAAAAAATTAGCCGGGCATGGTGGCGCATGCCTGTAGTCCCAGCTACTCGGGAGGCTGAGGCAGGAGGATCGCTTGAGCCCAGGAGTTTGAGGTTGCTGTGAGCTAGGCTGACGCCACGGCACTCTAGCCCAGGCAACAGAGTGAGACTCTGTCTCAAAAAAAAAAAAAAAAAATGGTTACAATGGCAGTTTTGTTATATATATATTTTACCACAGTTATAAAAACTAATAATGAAATATAGCAAAACCCATCGAATGGTACACTGTAAATGGGCGGGTTGGATGGTGTGTGGATTTATACGTCAATAGCACTTTGACAAGAAAAGGCAGAGGAGCCAGGCGTGGTGGTGCCCGTAGTCCCAGCCACCCAGGGGCGAGGCCGGAGCATGGATTGAGCCCAGGAGTTTGAGTCCAACCCAGACCGCGCAGCGAGACCCCATCTTGAAATAAATAAGTAAACAAGTAGAAGGGCAAGATGGGGCCAGAAGCCTGTGGCTCAGCTGCCCCGACGTGGCCCTGACGTGGCCCTGACGTGGCCCTGCAGTAGCAGACACCAGGCTTCCTCCCTGCAGGGCACCTGGGTGACCAACAGAGCCCGTTTCTGGTTCAGAAAATAGTGACCGGGGTGTCCGATCTCTCTCCCTGTCTCTCTCACACGCGCGCACACACATGCACGCACGCACGCACGCACGCTTGCAGCCACACAGGCGTGTGCACACACGATATTGCTGGAGCAGGTTCCTCCTGCTGCTCTGGGAGGAGCCAGGGGTGAGGCCGTTCAGCCCCTGGGGGGTGTCTTTCATTAACCGTCGGCCTTTCCCTGGAGATCCTTGGCGCTTGTGCCAACATCACGCCTGTGTTGTCCCTGCCCTCGTGTTTTGCCAACTGTTTCATCATCATCATTAGCGAGTATTTACCGTGCGCTTCCTGTGTGTGGGTCCCTCAGCCAGACCCTGGGAATCCAGGGAGGGGAAGGGAGGACCCCAGGGCCGGCTGAGGTTGCAGGCCGTGGACCTTGCGGTTGCCGTGGTGCTGTGGCCGCGTGTGGGCACTGCTTTCCCAGGCTGGGATGGGACCCGGGCCAGGCCTCTGCTCTGGGGGTGCCCACGGGGCCGCCCTTTGCCCACAGCCGCCAGCTGGTCGCTGGGCGGGAGGAAGTGCACCAACATCCTCTTGTGCATGGGTGTCCCCGGAGGCGTGTATCTCTGCCTAGTCCCCTCCCGAGGCTGGTGTTGGAGTCTAACCCTCTGGAGGGAGCTACCCTGTCTGTTTCCTGAGGCTGCAGTAAGAGATGGCCACAAACTATGGGGCTTAAAACAGCAGAAATGGATCCTCTCGCGGGCCTGGCGGCCAGTCTGAGACCAGCTCCAAGACCCTGTGGCTCTGGGGAGGGGCTTTGCCTCCTGCAGCTGCGGTGGCTCCAGGCCTCTCTGCAGTCTGTGCCTCTGTCTTCACAAGGCCGTCTCCCCTCTGGGTTTGCGTCCCCTCTCTTATGAGGACACTGGTCATTGGCTTCAGGGCCCCCAGAAATGGGAGAGGGGAAATGCGGTTGCCGGGGTGCCCCTAGAGGCCGGGCTGTGGGAGAGGACGCTGTGGCCGCGGCCCACGTGGTCTTCAAGGCCCAGAGGACACGTGGAGGTCTGGTGGCCCCGTGGTGCACAGAGCCCATGGGGAGTGCCCACTCCAGCACCGCGTCACTCGCCGGGAGCAGCCCCCTGCCCATCATAGCGCCAGGTGTTAAGTTTGGGGGCCCAGGAGCTGCCTGGCAGGTGGGCGTGGGGGCAGGAGTGGGGCATTGGACCCGAGGGCGCCCCCTGTTGGTCACGGAGGTGTAAGGGCACCCAGGCTGGGCGACGTCCAGGTACCGGTACCCCAGGCAGGTGCAGAGATGCCCTGTGCCCTGGGGGTAGCTCTCGCCTTCCGAACCCACCCGCTCTTCGTAAGCTGGGCACTGTTTCGTGTCGGCCGGTGGCCACCAAGGGGCCTCCTTCCGAAGGAAGGGGCTGGGGAAATCAGCCCAGACCCCTAACGGTTGCAGGGTGCCCCCCTGTCTGGGTGGACGGATGTGGGGGCACGACGTCCACGCCAGTCCCCTCCGAGTCCTCCCAGGCCCCGTGCCCCGGGCCCGGAGGGGGTGGGGGGAAGGCCTGGCCGGCAGGCCTGAGCTCCAGGTGGGCTCTGCCACGGCGAGTCTGCCGTGAGGGTGGGCCTGCGCGGCCTCGCCGTCTCAAACCTGTGAGAGAAAGCCGCCTTTCTGCGAGAAAACACTCAGGTGGCCGCTTCCCCCTGCGGTCGGACCTGGACCCCCCCCAGCTGGCGCACCGGGCCCTTCGTGAAGCAAGGCTCCCGTCTCCATCGGCCAAGCAGACACTTTTTATTTGTTGAAGGGAATTACTGGTGCAATAGCGCATCATTAGCGGCATAATCAACGCTCGATGTCTTCCCTCTGGGCCGCCACAGCTTGTCAACAGGTGGAATCCCGGCAACAGCCCCGGGAGGCCCGGCCCAGGGTGCAATTAGCAGCTAATGAGGAGACCTGCCGTGACCCGCTCCCGCAAGACAGCACCAGCGTGGGGGCACCGGCGTGGCAGGGGCAGAGCCAGCCACTGGCCTCGAGGGCCATCCTGTTTGCCGCCCAGGGGGCGGGCAGAACTCAGAGCTGGTCGCCAAGCAAGGTGGGCTCTTGGCACTGGGTTGTGATGTTGGAGCAGGCAAGGGGAGGGCAAGGGACACCTCAAGGGGACACCTGGCCCCTTGAGGCCACATCTCAGCAGTCCCCGAGCTGGGGGGACCGTGGGGGCAGCAGACAGGGTCGGAGGAGAAGCCCTATCAGTGTCCCTACCTTTGCTGACCGGGGTTGGAGGGAGAGCCAGGGAGGGCCCTGGGCAGAGCAGCTTCCAGCCTGGCCAGGGGCCGCTGCGCTGCGGGCAGGAGGCCAAACCTCTGGGCCTGGGGAGGACGGCCGGGCAACGTGTGACCACAGCCTTCTCCCGCCGGCCCCTTGCATGACCCAGGGAGGGCCAGTTTGCAGCCCACGTGTTACGGCATCAGCGGCCAGGCTCACTGTCTGGCCCTGGCTGCCAGGCTTCGAGCAGCCTCAGACAGG